GAAAACATTTTTACTACTGTATATTGCACCTGTGTGCGCACACATGATCGAGAGAGAGAGAGTGAGAGAGAGAGAGAGAGAGAGAGAGAGAGAGAGAGAGAGAGAGAGAGAGAGAGAGAGAGAGAGAGAAGTCTGGGCAACAGTAAGACTCCAACTCAAAAAAAAAAAATATAAGGATAATCTTTGTGTGTGTGTGTGTGTGTGTGTGTGTGTGTGTGTGAGAGAGAGAGAGAGAGAGAGACAGTCTCTGTCACCCAAACCAGAGTGCAGTGACACCATCACAGTTCACTGCAGCCTTGACCTCCTGGTCTCAGGTAATCCTCCTGCCTCAGCTTCCCAAGTAGCTGTGATTGCAGGTATGTTCCACCATCCCCAGCTAATTTTTGTAGAAATGAAGTCTCGTTATGTTGCCGAGCTGGTCTTGAACTCCTGGGCTCAAGTAATCCTCTTGCCTTGGCCTCCCAAAGTGCTGAGATTACAAGAGTGAACCACTGCACCTGGCCTGAAGATAAATCATTTATCTTAGCTCTAAAAGAGCTCTCTTCTACACAAGGCCACAGACATGGCAATGTCCCAGTGTTTCAAAGATGGTCCTTTCTGGCAGATCTGGGAGAAGTTAGCTTCATCTTCAACATGCTAAGCATACCAAAAAGGAAAGCAAAGCTTCCATATTAGCAGTACCTCTTGAATCAAACATTAATTTTTAGAAATTCAAACAGGCTGGGAGTGGTGGCTCACACCTATAATCCCAGCACTTTGGGAAGCCGAGGTGAGAGGATTACCTGAGCCCACCATTTCTAGACCAGCCTGGGCAAACTTAGTGAGACCTCATCTCTACAATAAATCAAAACATTAGCCGGACGTGTGGCACATGCCTATAGTTCCAGCTACCTGGAAGGCTGAGGTGGAAGGATCGCCTGAGCCCAGCAGGTCAAGGCTACAGTGGCCGTGAGTATGCCACTGCACTCCAGCCTGGGCAAGAGTGAGACTCCAACTAAAAAAAAAGAAATTCAAACAAAAAGCCGGGTACGTGCAAGTCGTAGAAAATGTGTTGTCAAGAATAATGCAATGTATATGTAGAAAGTATCACAAGCCAGGCTCAGTGGCTCAGCCTGTAATCCTGCGCTTTTAGGAGGCTGAGGTGAGTGGATTGCCTGAGCCCGCGGGTTCGAGACCTGCCTGGGCAACTTGGCGAGACCTCATCTCTACAATAAATCAAAAAATCAGCCGGGCGTGGTAGTGCGTGCTTATAATTCTGGCTACTCGGAAGGCTGAGGCAGCAGGATCGCTGAAGCCCAACGAGGCTGCAGTGGCCGGAAGTGGCCACTGCACTCCAGTCTGGGTGACGGAGTGAGACTCCAACTTAAAAAAAAAAAAGAAAAAGAAAGTATCACAAAGAACCTTAAAAATGGATGGGTGATATACCAGAATGTTGCTTAGAATACAGTACCATCTCTGGCCTAGAGATGGGTGGAAAAGTGTTTTCTGTAGGTAAATATGAAAGAGTTTTCCCAAGGTGTCATTAATTTGTAATTTCTGATTCTTTGCATTGGAGGTTTTATGTTATTACATACCTACATATTTCCTAAAGCTAGAATGCTATTGGTCTTCCCATTTTCCAGCTAACCCATCAGTTGAGGAAAATTTCAATAAGTGGTTGCTTAACTCAGTTCAGATTTTTAAAAAGAGGGGGAGGGGAGGGAACAAAATAAAAGGACAGAAACTGGCATCCAGAAAAAGACAAACTGTTAATATTTCGTATTTATTGGTTTCTCTATAGAGATAGTCTTGGTCTTTGAACACAGAGAAGACTCACTACATGGAAAGAGATTTGTTCCCTATCTTCCACCCCTGGGAGAGGAGGATATACATAAAACTCCAGCAGAAATCTTTACTGTGAAATTGCAGTAAACACTGCCTGACAGTGAAAGGCCTTATTCATGTTGAGAGTAATCCCCGCCCCCTTCTGAGATAGTATGAATTAGAAGAGACCTCTATCAGTGTTGCTGGTTTAGGGTCAACTGTGTCTAGAGGCAAAAGGAAAGGTGCAGTGTTCTTTGAAAGACCCTTGCTAGCTAGCTCTGGGGTTTTAGTACTAAGTGGCCTTCCCTAAGAACATGGAAGGAACTAATGTACTAAAGCCAGTCACATCACGTATCAGCAAGTGCTTTTCTATTACAGATGCAAAAAAAGATACTGACTCAGTGACTCCTTTCAGTACTCCTCACCCAAAATATGGCTGACCTTTGAAAAACCCACTAGGGTTTCTAGATGTTAAACTTTGCAAAGCTGGCCTTACCAAATAAATAATAATACTAATCCTACTTTCTAAAGTCTAGTCATTTGAAACTTCAGCCTTATTTCCTATCACTATTTTCAACCATGTCATTTTCCTCATCAAATCTGATTCCTTGTCAGCTTTTCAGAGTTCAACTGGTTCCAAGGTTTCTGTCAGACTGTCCTACCATCCTCCCACTCCTAACTACCACAGCTGCCCCTTGTGTTCTAGCCAAAGAAATGTCTTGGCACCATTTTCCTTACTCCCACTGCTGCCTCCACATCATTCTCCACCCCCTGTGTCTGGAACAGTCTCCCACTTCCATCTGCCATTTTTTCCCTCTACTGTCAATCTTATCATTGCCCCAAAAGCCCACCTCTCCCAGGAAGTCTTCATTAATCAACATTAAGGAGTTGGCCATTGCTCTGATGTGGTCATGTGCTCTTTGAGCTATTGCCACTGCCATGTTTCCTAGGCTTTGGGCCCCTCTCCTACTTTGGAGAGACGAATCAATCTCTCTCTCTCTCTCTTTCTCACTCTACTTTCTTATCAATATCTCTATTTACTTTCTAAATAAACTATATTTTCCAATCTAAAAACAAGATTAAGGCATCTTCAAACTACAACAGACACCTGACACTGATGTCTAATGCATCCCAAATTTTCAGAACAATAATTATCTTTCAGGAATTAAGAGACAATACCAATATAATCAACCATGGTGGTGGTAAAATAAGTTTTCTAAGAGATATTACTATGCAAAGAGAAGAGAACAATTCCACAAGCCATCCTTTTTAAAGAATCAAAGTCCAGTCGGGCTCGGTGGCTCAGCCTGTAATCCCGCGCCTTTAGGAGGCTGAGGTGAGTGGACTGCCTGAGCCTGCGGTTCGAGACCCGCCTGGGCAGTGAGACCTCATCTTTACAATAAATCAAAAACTAGCCGGGTGTGGTAGCGTGCGTCTGTAGTTCCGGCTACTTGGAAGGCTGAGGCAGAAGGATCGCCGGAGGCCAGCAGGTCGAGGCTGCGG